TTTGGCTTATTAAGTCTCACCTGCTGTGTTTTTCAGTGTTTTTAAGAGTGACGGTCACTCGTTGGCCAGAGAGGTGATACTATTATCTCTGTGTGTCTGTAAATCATATCTATCTCTCTCTATCTATGGCTGGATGGCTCTTTGTCAGGAGGGCTTTGATTACGTTTTCTTGCCCTGGTGAAGGGAGTTGGACTGGATGGCCTTAAGTATTTTCTGTTGGTCATGGGGGTTCTGTGTGGGGAGTTTGCCCCAATTCTGTCGTTGGTGGGGTTCAGAATGCTCTTTGATTGTAGGTGAACTATAAATCCCAGTAACTACAACTCCCAAATGTCAAGGTCTATTTCCCCCAAACTCCATCTGTGTTAATATTTGGGCATATTGAGTATTCATGCCAAGTTTGGTCTAGATCCATCATTGTTTGAGTCCACAGTGCTCTCTGGATGTAGGTGAACTACAACTCCAAAGCTCAAGGTCAATTCCCACCAAACCCTTCTTCACTCTGGCCCAGAGCAGCAGTTGTGCTGGGTGGAGGCGCCCCCAACTGAAGACATAGGCAGGAGACAAGGAGGAGCCGACTTCCCTGGATCTAGACACTAGACTCCTATGGATGCCGTTGGCTTTTTTGCCGCCGCATCACATTACTGGCTCATATTTAACTTGTTATCCTCGAGGACTCCAAGATCTTTTTCACACGTCCCTCATTCTGTATCTTTGCATTTTATTTTTTTCTGCCTAAGTGGAGTACCTTGCATTTGTCACTGTTGAACTTCATTTTGTTAGTTTTGGCCCAATAAAAAAGAGCCAATGCGTTCAAGCAGGGGTCCTCAACCTAAGGCCCGGGAGGCGGATACGGCCCTCCAAAGTCATTTACCCGGCCCTTGCTCAGGGTCAACCTAAGTCTGAAACAACTTGAAAGCACACAACAACAACAACAACAACAACATTCCTATCTCATCAGCCAAAAGCAGGCCCGCACTTCCCATTGAAATACGAATAAGTTTATATTTGTTAAAATTGTTCTTCATTTTAATTATTGTGTTGTTTTTAAGTGTTGTTTTGCATTCCAAATAAGATATGTGCAGTGTGCAAAGGAATTCATTCATGTTTTTCCAAATCATAATCTGGTCCTCCAACACTTTGAGGGACTGTGACCTGGCCCTCTGTTTAAAAAGTTTGGGGACCCCTGTTCTTAAGCATAGGTTCTTTTTATTGCAATTTTCAGTGTGAAGGGGGACATCAGATTACAGAACTTTTACACTTTTACACCAAGAATGTCATTGGACATAAAGATATACAGATTCTATACAAATAATAACAACAACAATAACAACACCCACGAGCAGCAAGGAAGTAGAAGAGAAGAGTAAGATTTTTAATTACGTTATTGAGACAGGGGAATCTATATACAATAATTCCCAAACGCTCTTTGTTCAGCCAAAATTATGAAGCTCACAAAACGTAGAGGAAGTATGGTTGCTGAACCAACTGTATATTTAAAAGTGTGGAACTGGGAACCGCTGGAACTGAGAGTTTTAAAATGATTCTTCAAAAGATATCTACTGCCACCATCTTACTATTATTCAAACAGGCTGAGGTTATATTGAGAGATTGTTCTGTGACCCACACTGTGTCACTATAGGTTCTGAAAAGCTGCTGTGAAGCTGTCCTTAGTAATGCTTTGACCACAAAGGGTATTCACACTGAGGCTGGTATAAGTTGATAAAAATAACAAGAACGTTTATTGAACAAGCTTGAATTATTCAGATTTAAATGCTTAATGGTTTCCGTAAAATACTGGCATAAAAGCTTATAGTTACGTTAAAGATCTTAAAAACTTCTGGGTTACAAGTCTTAAAAGTTCCACCACAGCAAATTACTTCAGGAAATGAATCTCTGATAGTAACTCCCAAAAATGCCCCTTAGGAATCTAGCCAAAAACCTTGAACTAGACTTCCTTAGGAATTGAACAGACCACTAACGGGGTGCTGCTCCTACAAACCAGTATTCTAGCTATCTACTCAATAGCTCTTCTGAATACTACACAAAAGACTAACCCTAATCTTCTTCTTCAAACACAAACTCTCTCTCACTAACACCAACACTACTTCTCTCTAACAGCTCCAAACCCTAACTCACAAACTGGGACCTCAAGCCTCAGTTTAAAAGAGACTTTTTCCTCTAAACCACTTAGGCTCCGCCCCCATCTTCCTAACCAATCTCAGCCTTCTAACTTTCCCTCCAAGACTTGAACACGCCCCTTAAGGCAAAACCTAACCTAAGATGGCTTCTCCCTGCTTCCCTTTCCTAAAATGGATGTCGTGGCTTCACCAGGCCCACTCCCTTATGCCTCCGTTCATTACAAGGGCCATTATTTTAATGTATTTTCAATGTGTTTTTACTGTTGTTGACCTGTTTATGTTAATCGCTGTGCCGTAATAGTTCTTTCACGGCATCTAATGATTGCCAATTGTAAGCTGACCTGAGTCCCCCCTTCAGGACGGGATATCAATGTTTTCAATAAATAAATAACTAAACTGCAGAGGTCGTATGGCAGCAATAAGGTGCGAGGTCACACTTTTGGGTCCTAGCTGGTGCCAACTATCTAAGGAATTGTCTACTCAAAAGCACAGCAGAACATCCACGTCTTTAACTCGCATGATCTCCCTGGGGAGGGAATTCCAGAGCCAGGGGGCCACATCCAAGAAGACCCTCTCCCTCATCCTCACTACTCATGCCGTAGACAGGGGTGGAAGCGAGAGAGGAACTTGGAGATCGCGTAGGTTCCTAGAGCAGTGGTTCTCAACCTTCCTAATGCCGTGACCCCTTAGTATAGTTCCTCATGTTATGGTGACCCCCAACCATAACATTATTTTCGTTGCTACTTCGTCACTGTCATTTTGCTACTGTTATGAATCGTCATGTAAATAGCTGATATGCAGGATGTATTTTCCTTCACTTGACCAAATTTGGCACAAATAGCCGATACACCCTAATTTGAATGCTGGTAGTGTTGGGGGGATTGATTTTGTCATTTGGGAGTTGTAGTTGCTGGGATTTATAGTTCACCTACAATCAAAGAGCATTCTGAACCACCAACAATGGAATTGAACCAAACTTGGCACACAGACTCCCATGACCAAGAGGAAATACTGGGAGGGTCTGGTGGACATTGACCTTGAATTTTTGGAGTTGTAGTTCACCTAAATCCAGAGAGCACTGTGGATTCAAACAATGATGGATCTGGACTACACTTGGCACAAATACTCAATATCCCCAAATGGGAACACTGGTGAAGTTTGGGGAAAACAGGCCTCAGCATTTGGGAGTTATAGTTGCTGGGATTTATAGTTCACCCACAATGAAATAGCATTCTGAACCTCACCAACGATAGAATTGGCACAAACTTCCCACACAGAACCCCCATGACCAACAGAAAATGCTATGTTTTCTGATGGTCCTTGGCGACCCCTCTGACACCCCCTCGTGACCCCCACAGGGGTCCTGACCCCCAGGTTGAGAAACACTGTCCTAGAGGAGGATCATGTAGGTCCGTAGCGGTCAGAAAGATAGGCAGGTCCTACATAAGATTCGCAAACAACTTACAGTTACATTGGCTCACCAGACAAATAACTGGGAATTACGTTTTCAATCACCATTCACACGCATGTGTTTGCATCCATCACCATGCATCCAAATGTTACCATATCCTTTACTCCCTCCTTGGAGAAGCACCTGTTTAGGCCAGGCCCTGCTTCCCTGCAGCCTGCCAACGCACAGTTCCAGAACTTCCCTAACTTCAAAACTTCTTCCCCTAGCACAATGCCAAGGACCAGATCCCTGTTTTCCATACAGCAGAACCTGACTCCTTGCACAAAATCCAAGACTCCAAAAGCACACTTCTTCCTCTTCCCTGGAGAGAGAAGGCCAAAGTGACCAGACCGCTCACTTGCAAATCTCCCACCCTCCGAATACACCACCTCTCCTTCCCATGGAGCAGAGCATGGCGGGTGAACCAGACTCCTCGGGTCTGTCACAATTTGAGTATTATTAGATTGAGTCTTTTATACAAGTATTCTGCTGATGTAGTCCCAGAGTTGTAAATGAATGATAGACCTCTTCCATCCGGGCTCCATCTCAGTTTCCTGGACAGATGTTGACTCTTTTTGATTGGTGTTAGCTTTGTGTTGATTTCCTTCTTAACACTGTAAACATTTATCTAATCACTGTCCAGTTCTTATCACAGTTTTCTTTTCAGTTCTTATTAGCGACTTTTAATTACAATCCAGCAGGCAAGTAGGTAGTCATTGCATGCCTTAATATTTTACTGGTTTTTCCAAAATTATTGACTCTATTCATTCATTCTACCATTCATTCCCACAGATTATATTAAATCCAGCAGCATTCTCTCCTGAAGTTGCCTGAACCTGTGGCTAATGGCACCTTCAGAGCTTCTGTTGGCAATGAAGCAAGGGGAGTAGTGTATATATTCCTGTGGAATAATATCCAGGGCGGGAGAAAGAACCCTTGTCTGTTTGAAGTAAGGGTGAATGTTGTCATTACCAAGCTTGAATTAGCACTGGAGTAGCCATGAAGTCTGCAGAGTCAAGCAGTTAGGATATCTGCAGAGAGGTGGCCTGGACTCTGTTGCCTGGAGGCACCCTCTGTTTGGGAGGTGTTAACTTGCACCTGATTGCTTGCTGTCTGGAGTTCTCCTGTTTCTGAGTGCTGGAAACAGAATCTTATTTCAAAACGCAGGAATGCTGGGCCATTCACACATGCTTCAAGCAGACAAAGGTTCTTTCTCCCACCCTGGACATTATTCCACAGGGATAGAGACACTCCACTTGCTTCATTGTCCAACAGAACCTCCGAAGACCCTGATGTTTGCATTTCTGGGTGTTTCCATTTTCAACATGACCCATGAAGGGAAAGGGGGAAATCATGGAGGTAAAGAAAGTTTCTCGCCTTCATCCTTGATCTTTTGCTTCTTCCTTAACCAGGGAAATGAGGATTCTGTGGAGCCACCCCTTGGATGCAGCAATGAAATCAATAATATAGGAAGAAGAACATCTCTCTAGGTGAGGGTCTTGCTGAAATCTTGACCTCACGTACAGACAAGGAAGGAAAAAAGAAGACTGAAGCATCTGTATTGCAATTAAACACCCATATCATGGCTGACATAAAGGAGAAAGCATGTATATGCCTGGAATGTGGGAAGAATTTCACTCGGAAGAGTTATCTGAAGCAACATCAAAGGACTCACACGGGGGAGAAACCATATACATGCCTGGAGTGTGGAAAGAGCTTCACTGAGAGTACAAGTCTACGTAAACATCAAAGGATTCACACTGGGGAAAAACCCTATACGTGCCTGGAGTGTGGGCAGAGCTTCACTCACAGTGATAGTTTACATACACATCAAAGGGTTCACACTGGGGAAAAGCCCTATACATGCCTGGAGTGTGGGCAGAGCTTCACTAAAAGTGGAAATCTACATAGACACAAAAGGATTCACACTGGGGACAAACCCTATACATGCCTGGAGTGTCGAAAGAGCTTTGCTCAGAGTTCAGATCTACGTTCACATCGAAGGATTCACACTGGGGAGAAACCCTATACATGCCTGGAGTGTGGAAAGAGCTTTGCTCACAGTACAGTTCTACTATTCCATCAAAGGATTCACACTGGGGAGAAACCCTATACATGCTTGGAGTGTGGAAAGAGCTTTGCTCAGAGTTCAGGTCTACGTTCACATCAAAGGACTCACGCTGGGGAGAAACCCTATAAATGCCTGGAGTGTGGAAAGAGCTTCACTATGAGTGGAAGTCTACGTTTACATCAAAGGACTCACACAGGGGAGAAACCCTATACATGCCTGGAGTGTGGAAAGAGGTTCACTGTGAGTTCAAGTCTACGTTCACATCAAAGGACTCACACTGGGGAGAAACCCTATACATGCCTGAAGTGTGGAAAGAGCTTCACTGAGAGTGGAAGTCTACGTAAACATCAAAGGATTCACACTGGGGAGAAACCCTATACATGCCTGGAGTGTGAGCAAAGCTTCACCACAAGTGGAAATCTACATAAACACCAAAGGACTCATACTGGGGAGAAACCCTATACATGCCTGGAGTGTGGAAAGAGCTTCACTGAGAGTGGAGATCTACATTTACATCAAAGGATTCACACGGGAGAGAAACCCTATACATGCCTGGAGTGTGGGCAGAGCTTCACTACAAGTGGGAGTCTACGTTCACATCAAAGGATTCACACTGGAGAGAAACCCTATAAATGCCTTGGTTGTGGAAAGAGCTTCACTAAGAGTTCAAATCTAGATTCACATCAAAGGACTCACACTGGAGAGAAACCTTATACATGCCTGGAGTGTGGAAAGAGCTTCACTCAGAGTTCACATCTATATTCACATCAAAGGACTCACACTGGAGAGAAACCTTATGCATGCCTGGAGTGTGGAAAGAGCTTTGCTCAGAGTTCACATCTATATTCACATCAAAGGACTCACTGGGGAGAAACCCTGTAAACACACAGTGTGTGGGAAAAGCTTCTCTGAGAGTAGAAATCTACATAGACATAGAATCCACACTGGAGAGAACAGTGGTGTTTGACCCTAAAGAGTGTTTCCCAGATAGAGCTTTCCAGAATTTTCATGTTGGTGAAACACTTTTTAGACATGCATCCTTTTGTGACACAGTAATTTAGTTGAACTAGCAAACCAGAGGTTAAACAGCCTCATATAAGATATTCAATATAATACTATATTACATAATATTAGCTGTATCCAATGCTGTGGCCCATTTTGGAGCAATGGGAAAAGAGAAAAGTGTAAGAGCTGATTTCTAAGCTATCAGTACACAACTGAAGTGGCAAAGTGTCAACATAAAATAGGCGCATTTTATTCTCGTGACCAAAGAATTATATGGATGTGTGGAAGGGCTCCGAGTTTCCTGAGTCCACACTGCCATATAACCCAGTTTAAAGATATTATATAGGTATTGTTGTTGTTATTAAAGACATATAGATATTATTATAGGCATATAGGTAATTGTAGCGAATTTGTTGATCTATGTTAATTTTTTGATGTATAGCTCTATGTTGCAAGGTGGCAGAATTGGCACAAATAGGGTAGCAACAGTAGAGGCAAGAGCCGATTGGTCGTATGCAGATGAGTGTAGGCCATGATTTGAAAAGGGCCACTGAGCCAGAATGGCAGTTGGGGAGAAGAGAGCTGAACATTCCAAAGGGGCAGAGTTACGTTTAAAAATAGGCAGTTATAGAGTCAGAAGAGATTCAGTTAGGAATTCCTGTTTGTGAGGTACAGTTAGGAACTTCTGTGAAAGGAGTTAGGAAAATGAAGCTCAAGTGTTAAGGAAAATAAAGAAATGCCAGTGTTGTTTTAGGCAGAATATAGTTCTGTCAAGAGTGTATGATCTGAAACAGTTCAAGTTTGATAGAAAAAGTTAACCAAGTGAATGATATTGAATGTAAGACTCAAGACTGTAACAGAACACACAAATGTAACAATAAGCGTTGGAGCCAGAAGCTATAAATAAACTCTGTTACTTCGTTTACTACAAGAGTGTCTCAAGCCTGTGATATAAAGCCTCAAAGTAAAAGCTCACAAGAAAGCCAATTTTTAAAGGGAAACTGTTTCAGTACAAGGCAAGTAAAAGATATAAAAGAAATATTCCCCCCCCCACATCGACTCACATAAAAGGCACCTGTAAAAGGACTGAAGTAGTGAAACGTCGTCCCTGTAATATTATTATAGATTTATAGATATTGTTGACAGACAGATATTATAAGTAGAGACATATGGATATTATAGACCTATAGATATTATTATAGGCATATAGACATTATTATTACAGACATACAGATATTATAGACATGTAGATATTATAGATATATAGTAGGCCTGGGTAACAACGGAAAAATTTGTTTCTAAAATCGATTTGTATTTGGGGGTTTTTTTTGTTTCGATATTTAAAATAATTACAAAATTTTCCTTTAAAAAAGTTCTGTATTTACGAAATTTCGTTAATATTAACGAATCAATTCGTTAAAATGGCGGACGCGGTTGTGCGACGTGAAAATAATAGTTTTAAATAATAGTTTTAACCTCGGAGAAGGAAAGAGGGGGGAAAGAGAGAGAGAGGAGGGGTGAAACAAACCACTTTCTGCCTTCGTGAATGTAAGGGACAGTGAAAGCAGTACTGAAAGATGGCCATCCATTCTTAATAATAATAATAATAATAAATAATAATAATAATAATAATAAATATAATTAATATAATAGTTTTAACCTGGAGAAGGAAAGGGGGGGAAGGAGAGAGAGAGGAGGGTGGGTGAGATCTCTATCTGGTTTGACAATGCTTCTTCTCAATAATAATAATAATAATAATAATAATAACAAACCACTTTCTGCCTTCGTGAATATAAGGGACAGTCAAAGCACTACTGAAAGATGGCCATCCATTCTTAATAATAATAATAATAATAATAATAAATATAATTAATATAATAGTTTTAACCTGGAGAAGGAAAGAGGTTAGGCAGGCAACAGGCAGGTCTCTGAGTGCTGCACTGCTGTGTCTCTTTGCCCAATGCACGCAGGCCAGAGTGAGGAACGAGGTGAGGTGACGACAGGAGGAGAGGAGAATTTGATCCACTTAAGCAGAGGCCAGGGACCCGGAAGTGGGGTAAATGCCGACCGCTTGCAACCAGGGAGAGGGGAGGGAAACAACTATAAAACTTGCACCAGACACATACGGAAATAATAACGAAACAATAACAAAACAATTATGAAATAGCTTTAAAAATTCGTTTCGTTTTTTAGTTGCTCCTGGATGGTTTGTTATCGCTTCGTTTACCCAAAAAATAACGAATTATTAACGAATTACGAAATTAACGAACGAAACCGCCCAGCCCTAATATATAGATATCATAGACACACACACATATATGTATTATAGACTTATAGATATCATTATGATATATAGATATTATTGTAGATATATTATAGCCGAGGGTTACTATAAAGTAAAAATGGAGGGCCATCTTTCGGGAGGGTTTTGATTGTGCCTTCCTGGACAGCCTTTCCTAACTCACAGAGCGTGCGTTTTTGTCCTTCCTTTGAATACTGGACTTCATTCCCCAGAATTCCTTCCCATAACTCAATATGGATGAGCTTTCTGGGCACACACACACACAGAATCCCTCCCGTGTGAGTTTCCAGGAGCCCAGCGGAGGCACCTCCATGCTGCCGACAGCCAAGACCCAAGAGGGAAAGGAAAGGAAGGGGGTGGATTTGGAGGAGGGTGTCCTCTCTCCCTCCCCCCTTCCCTCCCTCTCTCTCAATCCTTTGGGAAGAGAGAGGCAGGGGGTAGGAAGAGGGATGTACGGGCCACCTTTCCCTCCCTCTCTCAAGCTGCCTCTCTCTCAGCTGTTGTTTATTTCCCTTGGTGCAGGAGGGAGGGGCGGGGGATGGTGTTCCTTTAACGCATGCTTTGTATAGTCACTTAGGTTTGTGGGGGTTTAAGTTCTTTCTGGGTTTTTTTTTTGTTTTTTTGAGTGAAGGACATACATTGGTTTAGTTGGTGTCTTGTGTCCAAATTTGGTGTCAATTCTTCCAGTGGTTTTTGAGTATTGTTAATCCCACAAATGAACATTACATTTATATTCTTTATTTAGTTAATGAGATATAGCTTTTCTCCTAGGGCTGTAAGTATACAGAACTCTGTGTTTTGCATTGATGTTGCATTGGGGGCTGTGTGGTGGTGGTTGGGGTGTGGAGGGACGGGTGTGTTGGTTTTGTGAAGTGTGCTGAGAAAAGCATTGAATTTGGTTTTGCCATGTACAATGACAATAAAGTTACTCTATAATTCCATTCTATATCATCTTTACCCTCTAAACCAGGGGTCCTCAAACTAAGGCCCGGGGGCCGGATATGGCCCTCCAAGGTCATTTACCCGGCCCTTGCTCAGGGTCAACCTAAGTTGTAAATGACTTGAAAACACACAACAACAACAACAACAATCCTACCTCATCAGCCAAAGGCAGGCGCACACTTCCCACTGAAATACTAATAAGTTTATATTTGTTAAAACTGTTCTTCATTTTAATTGTTGTATTGATTTAAAGTGTTTTTTACACTACAAATAAGATGATCCTGTTATTCTGCCAGAGTTCTACTATCAACTGGTCCCAATCCATTTATTGGTGGCTGAGTTGTTGTTGCACAAGCACTTTAGACATCGGTTCAAAGGCCCGGCACAATCACCTACCTCTATTTAAAAGGTTGACAACTATTAGCACTTAACTTGCTGCTACTATCTAGACCAGTGGTTCTCAACCTTTGGGTCCCCAGATGTTTTGGCCTTCAACTCCCAGAAATCCTAACAGCTGCTAAACTGGCTGGGATTTCTGGGAGTTGTAGGCCAAAACCCTTGGGACCCACAAGTTGAGAACCACTGATCTAGACTATTGCTGCCACCTATTACAGCGCAAGTGCACTTTACAACCTGGAACACTGGAGAGACTAGGAGATGCAGAGGGGAGGGAAAGCAGGGGTCCTTCCATAGATACAATAACTACTGGAAATGGAGGGAGCGTTCCCGGGGGGTGTGGGGCTACGGGCGGGGGGACCACCATAGAGGTGGTGACAGGTAGAGGGAGATATGGGAAAGGGAGAACAAAACGCTCAATTCAGTCCAAATTTTATAACAACGCATTGGCAATTTCTAAAAATATAAATAAACAACAATTCTGGCCCAAAATTTATAATAGAACATTGACAATTCCAAAAATTACTCATAATGCAATTAAACAACCTATTTAACACAAAATTGATAAGGACAAATTGGCAACATCAAAACATTCTCGACAAGGTACAGCTGAGGTGCCAGGATGGTGGTCCCTCCAGGTTAAAAGTTGTGCTGTGCAATGCAAGGTCAGTAAATGGGAAAACATCTATCATTCAAGATTTAATCTTAGAGAACAAGCTGACCTTGCTTGCATCACAGAGACCTGGTTGGACGAGGGGGGAGGGGTCAACCTCACTCTGTCCACCAGGTTACTCTGTGCAGCATCAACCTAGACCTGGAGGGCGGGGAGGCGGAGTTGCAGTAGTCTATAAGAATTTTATCTCCCTGATCAGGTGCCCCATCCCACAGTCATCCTCCTTTGAGTGTCTCGGCATTAGGGTTGGTGATCAGGACAGGATAGGGATTCTGTTAGTGTACCGACCACCCCGCTGCACGGCAGTCTCCCTACCTGAACTAGCAGGGATGGTCTCGGACATGGCTTTGAACTCCCAACGGCTTTTAGTCCTGGGAGATTTCAATGTTCATGCCGAGGCTCCCCTATCTGGTGCGGCTCAGGACTTTATGGCCGCCATGGCAACCATGGGCCTGTCCCAATTAATATCTGGTCCCACCCATAGTACCAGGCACACACTGGACTTGGTTTTTTGTCAGGGATGGGATGAAGGTGACGGGGTGGAGGAGCTGACCATCGCCCCGTTGCCATGGACCGATCACCACCTGATCATGTTTAGACTCACTGTGCCTCTTACTCTCCGCAAGGGTGGTGGACCCATTAGAATGGTCCGCCCCAAGAGACTTATGGGTCCAAATGGCTTCTTGACGGCTCTTGGGGAATTTCCCACCTCCTTGGCTAGTGGATCTGTCGATGCTCTGGTCTCTCGCTGGGACAATGAGATGACTAAGGCAATTGATACAATCGCTCCGGAGCGCCCCCTCTCGAGCAACAGAGCTAAACCGGCTCCTTGGTTTACTGAGGAGCTGGCGGCGATGAAGTGAGAGAAGAGGAGGCTAGAGTGCGTGTGGTGTCGGGAGCCTACCGAATCAACCCAAACATGTCTGAATACCTATCTAAGGTCCTACGACATGGCAATAGCGG